GAAAAGCATTTTATGCTTCAAGTATGGAACATTTGATTATTTGTAATCAATTTGATATTTTTCACTTTCTTGACTCGATAACTATTTCTCAAAGGAAAGTGGTTTTCATTCGTTTCATATGATTAGTTTTACATAGTTTAACCTTCAATGTAACAAATGAAAGTTATAAACAAGTGTTTAAGATTTTACTTGATTCCTGCTTCGATTTGAGCACGCGGGTAATATCATACCACACACACAAATCAAGTGAATTGTGTGGTGCATATGTATTTGGTGCTCCTTTGTACCAATATTAATGTGTTCAAATAAATAAATAAAATAAACACTTGATTCCAGTTAACAAACTAATTTCTATCCAGTTGAAACAAGATTTGAATATTAATAATCATCAATCTGATTGGAATTGACCAAAAAAATATCGTTTGTCATCCAATCACAAAAACGTCCACTGAGTATAAGTGTCTATTTTAGTAGCTGGGGACAATGGAGTTTACCCGTGTCGGACGTAAAATAGAAGTCCTATATTAAACTGGAACTGCTATCAGTGTTTCTTGGTTGTTTATGTTAATTCAGTCCATGATATAAACTGAACAGTCAAAATAAACTTCTGATACTAATAATTATTTCGTTCGGGAGTCTAGTTTTTTTTTGTATTCAATTTAACCGACTAAACAATGTGCACTGGGTATTTCTGGCTTGGACTACCGAAACGTACATGTACATAGTTATAACTTGTAATGGAAGAATAAAAACTTAATAGACTGTTAATCAGTTTGGTTGATTGGTAGACCAACTGAGTAATAATTAAGGGATGAAAGAAAACCAATTTTATTGTATGGATATTCGAAAATGTCTGGTGAAGTTTTAAACACAAAACAGGTTTTCTCTCAACTTTAATCATAATACCTGAATAAAAACAAATCATTTCCCGTGTAGACAGGCAAGATATTATAATATCATATTGTCTTAAAGTACCAATAATCTAAATAGGAAAGTGCGTCAGAATAAAATCTTGTTCATGGTACATCATGATTCGCAAATTTTATTTGATAGTCAATGTCAGGTACACGTCATAGAGATTCAGAGGCAACTAACTGAGAGTTGACAAACATGAAATATACATAAGGTAGCTTGGACGAATTACCGATGACAGTTGAATTAAGACTACAGATTTGTGTACTCACGGACTTTGAGTCACAATATATGACTGTCGTATGACAGCTAGTGATACTATTCGACTTTTTTGACCAGTATACCTCACTATTCTTCAATGACGTCGATAATTGGAGGATTGAGTGAAAAAGGATGACAGTGCTAAACAGTGAATAATAAAATAAAGGTAAGTGCAAAAAAACAAACTTTTTGATCGATTCGATCAAGAATCTGATTATGTGTTGTTATCTCTTGATTCATATCAGTAGCCATAGAATGCAGTTGAGATACCATCCCTGAAACTTGTTGTAAATTCTGTTCCATTTCGTCTTCACGAGCGTCATTGGTGATTCTGTAAATCGATTTGAAAAAAGAGAAATATCATTTCCCGGGCAGTATCACAGCCCACACACAAATGATGAACTCTCCATGTCTATGGAAATTACTTTTCGAAAAATAATCAACTGATTCAAATTATTATCATTACAATTATTGTCATTACTAATACTATTACTATTATTACTATTATTGTCATTATTATTATTATTATTATTTTCCACATTATTCACCCTCTTTTATACCTATACAGCGGCTCGTCATTGGTGGAAATTCGACTGTATCTAAACGTTCTCGAGTCGCTGCCTAGTTGAAAATTGTATGCTACCACCAAATACGAGTACTGAAGCGGTTTTTCTGAAACCACGTGCACCATTCAAACTGGCTGCCTTCAACGTTCGCACACTTATGCAGGTCGGACAACAGATAGGGCTGGTTATGTCTTTGAAAAGTCTTAATATCGACGTTTGTTGTCTATCTGATACCCGCTTTCAAGACTATGGTGAAGTACTACAAATTCGCTCTACATCTGTCACTTCAAAAAGCTTGTTTTACGTGCGTTCATCCGAGGAACATGTGGCATCTTCGTCTGGTCTTGCGTGCGTTGGTGTCGCACTAAGCGCTAGAGCTGAGGCAGCACTAATCGATTAGATCCCCATTAACAGTCGGTTATGTGCTGTTAGATTAGAAAGTTCCACCAAAGTGAGAAGAAATCGGCGTGAGAAACGATGTCTTTTTGTCATCTCCGCCTATGCTCCGACAGATTGCAGCCCGGATGCAATCAAGAATGAGTTTTACCACCAATTATCTGTTCTTCTCCAGAAAGTGCGTTCGACAGATATTGTAGTACTACTCGGAGACTCGAATGCTCAGGTCGGGCGTCCAGGTACAGAAGAGAGTCGTTTAGGTGGCCGATGGAGACTCGTTGGTCGCAGGACAGATAACGAGGACCGTCTACTGCAACTGTGCACAGACCACAACCTGTTTCTGGCTAGCACTAACTTTCGGCACAGTCATCGCCGACGTGCCACCTGGCGTCCTCCCTCTGCACCTCAAGTCTGGACTCAGATTGATTACATCGCGACCAGCTACCGCTGGCGTGGTTATGTACAAAGCTGCCACTCCTTCTGGAGTACCTATCTGGACTCTGACCATGCCTTGGTCTGCGTCAATCTCACCTTACTTTTCAGTGGATAACGAAGTATCCGCCATCAAAGGATTGATATTAGCAAGCTGGTTGCAACTTCTGTTGCAAGTAAGTATCGAACTGAGCTAGCCTCTAGGCTAGCTACCACTCCACCGAAAAGTATAGATGAGCATTGGTTGCAATTGCATGACGCCATGAAAATGACGAGTAAAGTCACTTTTGGGTTCGCGAAACGTCCCGCTTATAAGCACTGGGTTTCTTCAGGCTCCCTACAACTTATTGAAGCCCGTCGGTCTACTCCGGGTGACCGTGAGTTTGACCACAAACGAAGGATGTTACGTAAGGAAATTGGGCAAAGCTTGCTTAAGGACCGAGAAGCCTGGTGGTCGAAGCGTGCTAGTGAGCTGGAAGCAGCAGCTGCATCTGGTAATTACCGGAAGCTCTTCCAACTCATCCGAGCCACTGGCAGCAAGAAGTCTGATGTGAGCGAAACAACCTGCGAGGATGATGGGATGCCAATCAACAACACCAATCGACGTCTTGAACGATGGGCAGAATTCTTCGAAGGGCAGTTCAACTGGCCTGCTGCTCCGGCAACATCGGTCAGACTGTCCTGCCCTCCATGGCCGGTGACGACTGATCCACCAAACGAGGAGGAAGTCCGCAAGGAACTCCAACTCTTGAAGCGTTACAAATCACCTGGCCCAGATGACTTACCTCCGGTTCTTTTTAAAGATGGTGGTGACTTTCTGACTAAGGAATTGACGACGTTGTTTACAAAGGTTTGGGAACTAGAGGGTGTACCAACGTCATGAAATGAGTCGATAGTTTTCCCTATCTTAGGGTTCACGTTGCTCCTGTAACAACTATCGGGGGATAAGTCTACTTCCGATTGCGTCCAACCTATTGGCTTCCGTCATACTTCGTAGGTTGTTCAAAATCCGAGAAAGATTGACTCGCGAGAAACAGGCTGGTTTTCGTTCTGGTCGAGGATGTATTGATCATATCTTCACCCTCGGCCAAATATTAGAACGCCGTCATACTTATCACAGACCAACAATCGTAGTGTTTCTTTATATCAGGGCTGCCTTCGATTTGTTGGACAGGACTGTTCTCTGGGATTGTCTATCGAAGAATTGTGTGCCTGAGAAGTTTATTAACATCCTAAAAGCCCTATATACAAACACGTCGAGCAGAGTGAGGGCATACAACCACCTTTCTCCATTGCTCTAATCAAGCAGTGGGGTTAGGCAGGGTTGCCCAATCTCACTATTCCTCTTCAACTTTGCCATCGACGACACTCTGGAAACAGCTCTGATGGATGTAAGTAATGGCGGTGTGGATCTGCTGCCTGGAGAAAGACTTCTCGACCCTGAGTATGCGGATGATATTGTCTTACTGTGCGATAATGCCCAAGGCATGCAATCCGCACTTAACCAGTTGGCAATCAATGTCCGTGGCTACGGTATGAGCTTTGCACCTTCCAAGTGCAAAGTACTTCTACAAGACTAGCAGGATTCTAATCCTGTACTCACTCTGGATGGTGAGCAGATAGAAGTAGTCGAGATGTTCGTGTATCTAGGTAGCTGCATAAGTGCTGGTAGGGGTGTGAGTGATGAGATCAATGCACGTATGGTGAAAGCCAGAGCGGCTCATGCCAATCTGGGCCATCTATGGCGCCTTCGTGACGTCAGTCTGGCTGTAGAAGGTCGGATCTACGTGTCGGTGAGAGCAGTTCTGCTCTATGCTTGTGAAACCTGGCCTCTCCGAGTTGAGGACGTTAGACGACTCTCTGTGTTTGATCATCGTTGTCTCCGAAGGATTGCTGACATCCAGTGGCAACACCATGTTGGTAATGCAGAGGTTCAGCATCGTGTGTTCGGACACAGAGACGATAATGCAATTGGTATCACCACCTTGAAACACCGACTTCGGTGGCTTGGACATGTTCTCCGAATCTCGTCCCATAGAATCCCAAGTCGTGCATTATTTGCCGACTCTGGGACTGGTCGGAAACAGCGGTGAGGTGTTCAGTGTATGACATGGTGTCGTGGTATGAAAGAAAGCTGCAAAGGGTTGGCTTTAGTTGGCCCTTCACGACTCCCTAGCTGGGGTCTGAGAGATGGTGCTACACAGTGGCTAGAGACGTTATCAGATATGGCTCAGAATAGAAGCCAGTGGCGATCCTGCTGTAACCTTCTTTTACTTTCTCCATAAAAAAGTGGTTGTCTCCCTTACCTGAAAGATTTCTTCTGATTGTACCTTTCCGTTCCCTCATTTCTATCATACTACCTTACACCAATCTCCTCGTTATTGTTCTCTTTTTTTGAGCTCCTTAGCTTTTTTTTGTTTTTCTATTTCTCTTCGAATTCTCACTGTTTTGTGTGGCGCATATATATTGGCGCTCTCTTGTACCAATATTCATGTGTTCAAATAAATAAATAAATAAATACTTCTTAATAAACACTGAACTAGAAAGTCAATTGCTTATAAGAAAATTTAGATAGATAAAATTAATTTTAAACTATTGTCACAGCTTCAAGCCTTCATCATATATGATAGATTTTATAGGTAATTAGAGCACTTTATAGCAACTAATTATGTTTTAGTGATACAACGGAGAAAAAGCATTTCATAAGATCGATAGTGACTAACAAGATTGAACGGTATTGAGAAAATAGTCTGAGCTAATAAGGTTGTTGAATATGGTCATAATTAAGGAAATAATAGACAGAATTTTACTCATACGCCTACTATCTTGAGTGAGTGTGACTTAGATGACCTGTCTTCATTCGGTTAATGATTGATGAAAGTTGCAATTCACTTGTAAGGATAAAGCCTGACCAGTAAGTATGCAACAATGTGCAAAGACATTTAGAAATGATTGACCGAGAATTTCTGACTTTACTTCAATTATCAAGCTAGATCACCTTTCCTACTTACCAGACGTACTGCAGTGAAGGAGAACACAGGTGAGGACAACCGAATATTTAGCACAAAATTACAGAGTTACTTGATAAAGTAGAAAAACCGTATTCCAAAACTTCATTTGCAAAATGTTCATTAATTGTCTCAGGCTTCATTGTTTCTGCATTTCCGTACCAATTGCTTTCTGCTCCCGTTCTTCAATCCTCGATCTTATCAACCTTCTGCTGACAGACATTCTATTCCTGGTTGGCATTATATACTACTCACGTCAACATAAGTAGCATACACCACACTTGTCCCCCCTCTTAATAAGCTGTTCTCGCAGTCTATCCGATGGCCGTACCGCTACATTCTTTGTTGCTGTTCGTGACTCGCACTCATGATGCGCCAGCAAAATTAGTGGTAACTTTTTCTCTCAATTTCCTTCTTTAGATGCTGACCATTCCTTTAACATCCGGTTATTTCTTTCTGTAAGCCCGTTCATCTGAGGGTGATACAGTGTAGTTCGTATCCTCTTGATGTCCAACTGTTTTAGACGAGCTTTAAAAGCGACAGTTTTAAAACGGGGATCCTGTTCGGTTAATATCATATTCGATATTCCATTACACACTACAACATGCCGGATTACTACTTCGGTCACTGTTTTTTTCCCGCTGGTCTGCAATGGGTAAGGCGTCTACCCAAAGTGTAGCATGTTCTGTCATCACTAGCAGGTACTAGTTGCCGCCTGTCATCTGTGGAAACGGTCCCATCACATCCACCGACCATAGATCACCGACTGCGGTTACTGGGACTGACTGTAATGGCGATTGTGAGTATCGATCGCTTTTCATTAGTTGGCACTGCTAGAAAGTTAACATGTATTGAGCCACATCGTCTCTCACGCTTGACCAGTATGCACGTTGTCGTAGTAAATCCGTCGTTCTTGCAATACCTGTATGCGCTCTCCGGTGAAACTCATGTACCATCTTCGAGATTACAACCACCCAATTTTCTTCATCGTCCTGATAGATAAGGGCTTCATATACATTCTCTCAGTCTTTCCTTTTATTGAAGCAACATCATTACCTCCTTGTCCATTGCTCAGTGTCGAGGTCTACCCCCTCTTTTATCACTCTGATTACCTCTATAAGTATAGGGTCAGCTTTCTGCTGTCGGACAAGTTCTAGTGGATTTCTCTTTATACTATTCGTTGCGTATGTTGTCAACGGAAGCTAAACGCTGTTTTCGACCTTTGAATAATTATGTTCAGTGTGTGTGAAAACGCGACTCGCGTATTCAACCACTCTATCAGACTGACTCAAGACGGCACCTATACCATGACTACTTGCGTCTGTGGCCACTGTAAACTTTTTCTCAGGTCCAGGCAGTCTGAGCGTCATCTGGAGGTTGCCTAGCATGTTTTTGATTCGGTTGAACGTTTGTTGGGCGGTCTCAGTCTACGTAAACTTAGTGTTGCTCAACGACTTATATAGGAGTGCTGCTATTTCGTTGAAGTCCTTGACGAACCGACCGTAGAACGCTGTCCTTCCCAGGAATTGTACTGTAATGTTCCTTATGGTTAGAATTTTCTCCGGCACTGATTTTGTTTCTCCATTTCCCACTTTATGCCCCGACAACGTGACTCTACTTTTCGCAAACTGCGACTTGTCTTTATTAATTCGTTACCATACACCTCGGCGTTATCTAGACCCCTGAGCAACAGTATCATTAATCTTCCGAACTTAAAATGTGCACCCGTCAACCCAAACGGCACTCATCTAAATTGATAATGTTTATCACGTACAGTAAATGCTGTCCTGTCTCGACCGCTCGTTTATAAGCAGTTGCCAGTAACCTGACCGCAAATTCAGCACTGTAAATACCGTAGCATTCTGCAGCTGATCTAATGTTTCCGCTACTGTTGGGATTGCACAAGGTTTCAGTTCTGTTATGTTATTTAGTTCTCTAAAACCGACACAAAATCTATTCCATTCTATTTTTTTACCAGGAGTACCAGCGAGTTATACGAACTGTCTTCTTCCTAAAATTATACCTTCTTTTAACATCTCCTGAACCTCTCGATTTACCATGGCCTCTAAATGCACAAGGACACGACGTGTTGCAAATATATCAGGATTTCGTGCTTTACTTTGCAACGAAATCCGTACGGCTCTGTCTCCCGTGAACAGTTTCGTATACTTTGTGCACAACTCGTTAAGGTTTGGTTTCTTCATCGAAATGTTTGTTGCCACTCTTATCTCAGCCACTTCGCTACTTTCATGTATTGGGAATGAACCGTACTTTGTGACCACCTTACCGCTTCTTAAGTCAACTACTGCTTTTACTTCTTTTAGGAAATGTGCTCCTAATATGGGTCTCGATAGGCTTGTGGTTACTACGAACGGAAAATTTATCTCAGCACCGCGACGTCAACAACTGTGCCTCCAACTCCCCATCCAGATTCGGCAGCGCGCGGTGCAACAACCTGGTGAGCTCCACTGCCAGCACCAGTGGGTCACCATCGGTCGACAAATTCGCTAACCGGAACATCTTCAGTACTTCTCTGTCCGCCGGGCAGTCGAACTCCGCCCTGCCTTCAGCAGCGTCATCAGCACCACCATCTTTGCCTTGGGCTCCTTCACTTCCACCAGCTCCACCACGGCCTCAAACTCCTTCGGGAAGCTCAGCACATCTCCGTCCTCAAATTCCTCCGGCCATGGAATTTTCATCCTTAGTGGAGGCAGCGACACCAAATGTAGTGACAGAGAACACAGGTGAGCACAACCGATTCTTTAGCACAAAATTACAGAGTTACTTGATAAAATAGAAAACTATACTTCAATACTTCAGTACCACCTTGAGATTTCGCTTGTCTCTGAAGTAAAAAATAATCATTCAGAAACTATAAAACGTAAAATAACGAAACAACCGGAGAGCTCTAACTACTACTACTACTAGTTGTGTTATGAACAGTGGGAATAAAGATGAAATTAGTGCGTTGCTGCAATTGTAAAACAATTTGAAGAGGATAAGATTGACATACTCTGAATTTTACAAAATAAGAGTTTTAAAGACCGTAGTTAGTGCATTTATAGTACAGTCTATCTACTATTTATGTAGGATTTGGAGGAAGGAGAGAAAGTATTCATGTAAATATCACTTACCACATGTATCTGGTACATTGTTAATGGTTAATTAAAAACGCTGAATAAAATATTATGACACAGTTCAAAAATGGGGAGAATAAAAGAAGTGAATAGGAATAAACCTGTATACCTGGTGATGAAAGGCCCACTCTTTTGTTGGTTTTGCTGAATTTGGAATCCTGACTGTGGCTGATAAGAGTTAACCTGATAATTATTACTAGCCCCAGTTAGATAACCATTCCCACTCGTTGGGTATTTCGGCGTTTTCGAATCTGGTTTGACTCTAAATGAAAATGAGATATAGAAAGATGTAAAGCAAATTATACTTTACAGATGAGATCGGCATTCGAAATAAACAACTACTAAATGTTCAATGCGGTTGCGAAGCTATGGACACCGGAATTCGACCGTATTGAGTGTGAAGAAGGTACCAACTTAATGGACGAAAACTTGGGTAGGGTAGACCATTTTATTGTACTAAACAAAACGACAGACTGACTTTGTTAAAATTATGAAAACAATACATTGAATACACCATTTGCACAACTTCCTTGAACTGTCTCTTACGAACTCCATCGTCCTTCTATTACTGTTGCCACTCCAAACGTTTTTTCTCTTTTCCACATTTTTCTCTTGATTGTAAGAATCCTACTTCCAATCCTAGCTGCATACAACTGATATCTGTTCGTATAAGTAGCACATGACACATCAACCCAAAATAATAGGTGGTTGCGCAATATCCCTAATTTATTGAAGTCAGACATGCACACCATTATATGCCGGTTCAGTGATCTAGAGGTTAAACATTCGCCGGCGATACCGAAGGTCCTGGGTTCGATCGCCGGTTGCAGTTATGGATGTGTGCTGCTGGGGAGTCCCACATTGGAACAAAACGGTCGTCCAGTGCTCCCAGGTCTTCGTCAGTTATCTAATTCAGGTCGACTTGAGATCTCTATGAAGTCATACCATCATCACAATCCCATATTGGTGTACATTCATATAATTTAATCAGTTAATCCATGGCTCCGTTCAGGAAATCCGTTCTTTTAGAGTTAGAGCATCGATTCTAGAACAAAACTCTCAGTTTACACACCCCGCCCGTTTCATTATTAATGGAAATATTCGGAGGTTACGGATACCTTAAAATACAACATGTAACTTACTTCTTCCACGGTAAAACGCATAAACCACAACACTTATCGATCTCATCAAGGTCACGTTGTGCTTCGTGTAGATCTTCACGAATGTTATCCATATCCGAATCGATCCCTCTTAATTGTTCTGGAAATGAATTAATTAATAAGCCCGTTCTGTGACCATAGAGTATATCATCGTAAAACGGAGCAATAATTGAATAAAGTTTACAACCATTTCCTACAAATGATATAGACATTTATTCCCGAAGCAGAACAGAATCATTAAGATTGGATTACAATAGACAGTTGCTTGTGCACTATCCAACTAAATGCAGTAGTAAGAACATGAAAAAATTGGAGCACACACCGTTGCTACTTCGTCGTCTCTACAAACGCTACCACTGATTGTAGTTTAGGTGAAGTTAAGAGATTTACAGAGTCTTCTGCCCTCCTACAAAAAGCCAAACGCTCAGAACTAGTAATCGTAGCATGAGACTTTAACGCCCAGGTATGTAGTATAAACAAAAGGGGAAGATACTTAAACAAATCTCACAGTGTACCAGCTTAACGAACAGACAATGGCGATGGTCTGCTACAAAAACGCTCAGATAACCGTCTATTCTTAGCAAGCACCAACTTCGAGCAGGAAGATAGATATCATCTGACATGGAGACCTCCATGATCGACTCAAGGATGGACCCAAACAGACTGTATCACCAACAGCCAAAATCGGAGGCTCGACAGAAGACAGCCGCTCATCCCGGAGTACATATCTAGACTCTGGTCATGCTCTGATACGAGAATGCATTCGTTTTCGTCTAACTGGATGCAGACGTGTTACGCTAAGGAAATCTTAACGACAAAAAAATCAAGGGCATATTTCAGGAACGACAGAAAATCAGTTAGTCAATCATCAAAATGTTTTCCCCGGTATGGCTGGGCATGATATTTAGACACACGTGGAAATATCAACAATACTTAACAGCGACTATAACCAAGAAGTTGAAAATATCAGCGGATTTTAGCGGGATCTATTGAGACGACAGATGCTTAGCAAATCACCCAGTAATGCTGCAAACATGACGAGGAGCAGAGGCAAATTAATCGTGGACTGGCAAACGTCTATGCAATGATCGCGGACAGTGACAGGCAGCGAAGCTATTAGCGATGGAAAGAGCGGCGACGATAGACAACAAACGACCCTTCCCAATAACACTCACATACGTCATAAGACCCAATCTCGTATTCATAGCCTTTTTAATATTACAGGTTGTAAACAAATAACTAGAACAAAAACGAGATAAAATGAATTCATTTTGTTCTCCTCAAATATTTTTTCTTCTCTTTAAAAGGCAATTGCGTGTGTGAAATCACTTTTAGACCATTGAGAGTAGTATTCAGTTTTGACAGTCAATACAAGTCATCCGACTTCTAATGACGTAGGGAAAGTCGTAGCTAATCTAGAGTGACAGAGAACACCAGGTACTAATGAATTAACCCTGATGTCTCTAAGGATACTGGTACACTCTCGGTTATCAGATTGATTCAAATATTCACTAAAAATAACTACAACAACCCCACATTATACCGTCTGACTGGTCTCCATTGCTCATCATTCCAACCAACAACGGAACGGAAATCCTATTGTGGTAACCAGAGACATTCGACTTCCTTACTCCACAGCTTCTCTCTCAGTGTCAATCATTTAGAGCAGTATAAGAAAACTACATTAACCTTGTGCAGATTCTCCACTCAAACACTACGTGTCCAAACACAGCTTATGCAGAACTGACATCACAATCACCAATCATAAATCCTACTCGTTAGACTCAACATTTTTCCTCATTTTCACCCAACTTTGTCACAGACATCCCTTCCAACATAACACTGTCATCGACTCACTAGTTTCCACAAATCGACCTTCAATCACGAGACTCATCTCTTAACTTCAAATACAACGATGATATAGTCCTGTTTGGTGAAGTCTCTGATGAAATCCACACACTTCCGACAGCCTTAACCAACAATCAAATAATTTTTACCATGAATCTAACTTTCCTAAAGGAAAATCTTATTTCACTACTGGTCTGTCCGAACGGCTCAACTAACAATCCGGAGTTATGTAGTTGAGTGTGTCGACCATCTCACTTATTCTAGGAGTATCATCATTCGTAATCGTTTGGTGTCTGACAAAATCTCGACACCAATTCAGAAAGTCCGGTCGACTTTCGCCAACTTTAGTTACCCTCAACGTAAGCGACATATCCATCTCCCAACGAAATGAAAAGTATACGGAAGAGCAGTTCGCTCCCTTCTATTTTATTAATGGAAAACATCCCAATGAACAATTGATGATGTTCTTAAACGGCTAGTATTTGATCATAAGCGTATTCGAAGTACCGCTCGTGTACTCTCAGATCACCTAGTGAGCAATACTGAATTTAGAACCACGGTACTAGGTAAGAATGCAAGATCAATTAATCACGTAGTGACTCTTTATCGAACAACATGGTCACGACATGTATTACATATCTCCATCTACCGACTGCCTAGACCACACATCTTCGCTGGTCTACAAGTTGGTTGAGAGAAAAGTAGAGGAGGCCAAACCAAGACTCCATCAAGTCACTGACTGTTCGACTGAGTCATATATGCAGGTACAGACTACCTGATTCGCGTCTGTGTGATCATCGTAACCAATAATTAGAAATTCTGAGTGACAGATGCCACAATCATTCACAATGTCGTAGGTCCATCCACTCTTTGCCTTCACTAGGATCTTAATTTCTAATTTCTTTTCAGTCAGCTAACTTGTGTTTTCTTCTCGAATCATATCTTCAATATTCCATCATTTCTATTATCACAAATACTGTTACTACCCTTAGTAGTCTAGAAACTGTTTTGACAATTCCATCTCAGTGTGTTGATGGGCATGGGAACTTGAGCCGATGTATATATGTGCCAGGTTCTAATCTGAGTATGATTGTCGGAATAATAGATATGTACTAACCAATGAGGACGGAAATGGAGAAACTCGAAAATGATGAAAAGCATACCTACTAACCTATTAGAGAATAACTCGATGACTAGAGCGCCAAAGATTACGTCATTCGTGGTTTTTTATGTTGCAAATCTTTATGAATGATGTAACTTTGTTGAGTGAATTGAGACGTCCGAGCATTTCTTATATCCAATAGTAGGTTACAAGATAATTATTTGACTGACATGCAGTTAAGTTGCCACTTCCGTAAATTAACATGTCACAGAATATCACCTCCAACCACTCAATTATTTCTTTACATGGAATTCCAATGGGAACCAACAAGTTAGAATAACAGGTTATGATCCGTATTCCACAGACACATCAAAATTCATTGGATAAGCGTATACTAGGATATCACACACAAATACATCAATTAGTAACAAGGCTTATTCTCCCACGTCATGATTATATAATCAGATTTACAGTTTTTTATGTCTGTTTAGTTAACGAAACGCTCAAACGGACCAACATTCAAAAACTAGCTACAACTCGACAATCAAACCAAGTTCTGTGGTATTCCACTCCCCGTCATGGGGTTAACTCGTCAGTCAGACGTAGGGTGGAAATCGGATCTTATGAACGAGTGAATATGAATCGAATACTCTGGCTATCAAGCAACCGATCCATAATCTAGACTGCTGAAATATATAGAATGTGACAGTAAAAATGTGCATATCAAAATCTGTCGCCTAATAGTGACTTTAAAACTATAGTGCTGTCAATAAAATAGTACATAGTATTGAATGAGTATAATACTGTATATTATCGATAATTCATACAACTAAGACTTTTTAGTGCCCTTTGTGAGTAGTCTTTATAGTTAACATTACCTACTGCCACTAACAATCTTGTGACAACATCATTTTTAACAATCGATATGTGTTTTCTTCATTGAATATCTGACGATAGATAAATAAATAACTTATTTCTGAGTTTAAATCAAGAAAACTTAAAAATATTAATACAATGGTTACATAAACTAGTAGTAAGTATCAATCTAATTTCTTTTATCTCGATTAGACTATGAACATTCAGCTGTATGAGTATTTCGATGTAAAGAGCGAACTCTCTAGATTCTCGGTTGTGCCAAGGGATTATTATTAGATACCGTCGTGGCATTCACAACAAAAAGATACTGATTATTTCTTTAGTAGAGCAAGAACAAAGCTTGGTACAGAATAATACATAAATTCATTTTATTTCATTAGGTTCTCATCAGCTGCTTACAACCTAAACTATTTGAAATTCAAATTATTACAGATATTGACATATTTATACATAAGAGTGTGATTAAGGATCAATACATGTGTATGATGATGTAACGAAGATCCAGATAGAGTTAATGAGCTCATAAAATGTTTGATTCGAATAAATAAATAAAGTTAGAGAGGGAAAGTTCTGGGACATTGAAATAGTGATTAGAACTCATGAAAATAGATTAATGGTAATAAAGAAAATATGAATTGAAATCAATCAGTTATGTATGATGTAATTTATATTTCAGGAAGAGTTGCAATAATGACGTAATAAATAAATAGGAGCAAATTAATAGAAAGAGTGGGGGTTATTGTTACCAGGGTAAAGAAAGATTTATTACTGTCTCTTTTTGTATACATAGATCTGGTTTTAAACGTTTGATTGCTAACGCTTCAGTGAATTTCAAAAGGTTCGAGTTTGATTGTTTGTTAATCACCTTGAAGGACTTCAGTATATCAGCTTTATGTCCTGTATCAAGGAGATGTCTTGCGATAGCACTGTTGAATTTCAAATAATTTAGGTTGTAAGCAGCTGATGAGAACCTGACGAAATAAAGTGAATTCATATTATTCTGCACCAATCTTTGTTCTTGCTCTATTTAAGATAATAAAGGGAACTATGTGTATGATATTTCTTTAGTGTTCTAAGAATCTCTATACGACTAGGCAACAACAATACTTGGTAATTTTTGCAGTTAAATAACACATTTCATGGTTTTTCTCTAGACACAACCTAATTATGAACATAAAAATGCTGATTTTAGAGAGTAAAACAAGGATATATGGTACGAAAATGACAAATAAAAACATATGACAAAATTTTCAAAATTATATAAATAAATTGAAAACCTACGGCCTTGGGACTCCAACTTTCCTAGTGTCTGAGCACCCACTTTTGTACTCTGAAATTCAAAAATAAAAAAACGGAAGTTCTATAAATATAAATGCTTTCCAAAGTTTTGTCAAAAATGGAAAATTTATTAACAGAATATTGTTAACAAATGAAAAACAATATGTAAAGCAAAATAGAAATGAAGAACACAATATTTGAATTTTGATCGTAAAAATCTTATTATCATAACGTTTACGATCGAAGTGAGAAATAAATTAGGGGTCAAAGTGCCTTGCTTTTCACCAATAGGTTCACGGTTCAAAGCTTGTATATATCTACTTCTATTTGTGAACTAGGGTATTATCATTAAGTGTGACAATAGAATTTTGGCTTAAAGCCCACTACAGAAAGCTGTGTATGGCAAATGAGTTACGTTGAAAAATATTCCAATTCACAAACACATGTCAATGCTTAAAAAACACCAAACGTATTTGTCCTTTGAGTCCTGAACTACAAAAACGTCTAGTATGGAAAAGCTATGAAACTGAGCTAGGAACAGTAATTAACTTAGGAGAGATTAGTTCAAAGTGACAAGTGAAATCACCATCCATTTCAAGACTTGTTAACAAGTATTATATTATTTAAGCTGTCATTGTATCTTAATTTCTAAACTCATTAAATCAAATAGCATAACCAGAAACATCAATTGGCAATCCCGTAAATATGAAGTTTTTAGGATATCTATAGATATCCTAAAATATATTGGAAGTCTTTACGTCGTAACCGAATCTATTCTAATGCAAAATATGAAGTTAACCACGTGGACAACAAATAAGCAATTTTTACCCACCATCATGGGTTAATCTAACAATCAATGACTTTATGAGCTGACAATATGTCTCGATTTAGCTTCCCTAAGCTTTCTTCCAACTTACTATTACTCCAGACAACACCGTGTCAAAGTAGGTGGTGATCGGGGATATGGAAGATATATCTCAGTCACCTTAATCGATGGATGTTTTTAGTTTTGCTAACCAGTTCTCCAGATTTTTCTAGTACTCGAAACCTAACAACAGTAACTAAAGTAATAGAATGAAAAGAAATACTTTAGATTTTATTAGATTACGATACAATGTTATTGGTTATGGTGTAAAACTCCTAAAACACTTAGTAGTATGGGGTAGGTCGGCACTTCGGTCAAGCAGGGGATGTATCGATAAAAGCTTCATTCTCTGCCAAATTCTTCAACCCTTTTAAAAGTATTGAGGTACTGTTATGTTTTTTTTGACATCAATACCACTTTTTATTTGGTTGACGGAATTGTATCGTAGGGGTCTTTTTAGAGGGAACCTATATCTGGAAAGCCTGCCAACATATCAAAAGCTTTGTCAGGACATGTAAAACAGAGTGAATGGATAGGACCATCGAACTTCAGTATTCTGAACTGGCTGTTGATTTAGATAAGGTTGTGTAATTTCGACATCTCTCCTTAATTTTTCCAGCGTCGATATTCTGGGGACAGCTTTTTTGAAGTCTGCTACTACAGATCCGCTACCAAGAGAATGATTTTTCGGACTTCAATCGTACGATTATATTATTTGAATATGTGATGACATAGAAACTACGTAAATCGCAATTAATCATTTGGTCATTCTTGCCCGCGTAGGCCCAGTGTACTATGAATCATCAAAGACCTAATTATTTCTACAAGATTGGGAACAACCCGTGACTGGACTTATTCATTGTAATGAGCTGTTGCAAAATGTCCAGTTTGTGAAGTCGAGTAGACGCGACTGATGGTGGTGACAGATATGGTCAATTTACATACAGTAAAAGCACAGAAGCATTGTAGCAATTTGTATGATCTTTGGCACTGGCATAATATTAGTTTGATAACAAAAGTTTAGAGGCCTACAGCTTTGGTTCAAATAGTTTTATCTTGTGCTTATAAAACTTGGTCTATTTGAGTTTACAATGTTCGAAAAGTATTGGTAATAGACCAGTGACTTCAAGGGATTAGTAATATTCCGAGATCATCTGGTTGATACTGACGTCCGCTGACTGTAGATGTTACCTCGACAGTCTATAGTAGTGACTAAATGCCCTGGTACGGCCGAGAGTGGGATGGGCCCGCCCTCCCTTTTGAAATGCTCTCACATAGCCACGCGTATACAGCCCCTTCCAGGGAAGTCCTACTCATTGCCTTCTCGTGGAGGGGTGTTGTTTACGAAAATGAGAGGACGAAAAGCGAATGTCCGGTGCTTTAACCGGATTCCAAACCAAATCAATGGTGCACATGGGCTCCAATATCCTGCGGGAACAAATGGCGTATGAACCAATCGTTGGTCACCGGCTACCATGGGACTGCATCTCCTAACATCGCTCCATTGCCTTGTGGATTATACCTTCAGGCCAAAGGCTATGGGTGTGACCCCTAAGAAAACCATCTGCTTCGGTCTGTGCACCCAGGCAGTATCACAGCCCACACATAAACAGAATGAAATGAAAATACTTACGGAAAATACAATACTTGCTTCGATTAACAGTCAAACGATTCACGTTATTATTATTATTATTATTATTATTATTATTATTATTATTATTTACTACGTCATTTACTCACTCTCTTTTATTTCCACTATGTGTATCCTTATTTCTCGACTTATACAGCAGCTCGCCTATGGTGGAAATTCGACTGTATCTAAACGTTCTCGAGTCGCTGCCTAGTTGAAAATTGTATGCTACCACCAAATACGAGTACTGAAGCGGTTTTTCTGAAACCACGTGCACCATTCAAACTGGCTGCCTTCAACGTTCGCACACTTATGCAGGTCGGACAACAGATAGGGCTGGTTATGTCTTTGAAAAGTCTTAATATCGACGTTTGTTGTCTATCTGATACCCGTTTTCAAGACTATGGTGAAGTACTACAAGTTCGCTCTCCATCTGTCGCTTCAAAAAGCTTGTTTTACGTGCGTTTATCCGAGGACCATGTGGCATCTTCGTCTGGTCTTGCGGGCGTTGGTGTCGCACTAAGCGCTAGAGCTGAGGCAGCACCAATCGATTGGATCCCCATTAACAGTCGGTTATGTGCTGTTAGATTAGAGAGTTCCATCAAAGTGAGAAGAAATCGGCGTGAGAAACGATGTCTTTTCGTCATCTCCGCCTATGCTCCGACAGATTGCAGCCCGGATGCAATCAAGGATGAGTTTTACCACCAATTATCTGTTCTTCTCCAGAAAGTGCGTTCGACAGATATTGTAGTACTAGCCGGGGATCTGAATGCTCAGGTCGGGCGTCCAGGCACAGAAGAGAATCGTTTAGGTGGCCGATGGGGACTTGTTGGTCTCAGGTCAGATAACGGGGATCGCCTACTGCAACTGTGCACAGACCACAACCTGTTTCTGGCTAGCACTAACTTTCGGCACAGTTATCACCGATGTGCCACCTGGCGTCCTCCCTCTGCATCTCAAGCCTGGACTCAGATTGATCACTGGCGTGGTTATGTACAAGGCTGCCACTCCTTCTGGAGTACCTATCTGGACTCTGACCATGCCTTGGTCTGCGCCAATCTTGCCTTACTTTTCAGTGGACAACGAAGTGGCCGCCAGCAAAGGATTGATGTCAGCAAGTCGGGTGCAACTGCTGTTGCAAGTAAGTATCGAATCGAGCTAGCTACCATTCCACCGAGAAGTGTAGATGAGCATTGGTTGCAATTGCATGACGCCATGAAAATGACGAGTAAAGTCACTTTTGGGTTCGCGAAACGTCCCGCTTATAAGCACTGGGTTTCTTCAGGCTCCTTACAACTTATTGAAGCCCGTCGGTCTACTCCGGGTGACCGTGAGTTTGACCACAAACGAAGGATGTTACGTAATGAAATCGGGTAAAGCTTGCATAAGGACCGATAAACCTGGTGGTTGAAGCGTGCTAATGAGCTGGGAGCAGCAGCTGCACCTGGTAACTACCGGAAGCTCTTCCAACTCATCCGAGCCACTGGCAGCAAGAAGTCTGGTGTGAGCGAAACAACCTGCGAGGATGACGGGATGCCAATCACCAACACCAATCGACGTCTTGAACGATGGGCAGAATTCTTCGAAGACCAGTTCAACTGGCCTGCTGCTCCGGCAACATCGGTCAGACTGTCCTGCCCTCCATGGCCGGTGACGACTGATCCACCAAACGAGGAGGAAGTCCGCAAGGAACTCCAACTCTTGAAGCGTTACAAATCACCTGGCCCAGATGACTTACCTCCGGCTCTTTTTAAAGATGGTGGTGACTTTCTGACTAAGGAATTGACGACGTTGTTTACAAAGGTTTGGGAACTAGAGAGTGTACCAACGTCATGAAATGAGTCGATAGTTTTCCCTATCTTAGGGTTCACGTTGCTCCTGTAACAACTATCGGGGGATAAGTCTACTTCCGATTGCGTCCAACCTATTGGCTTCCGTCATACTTCGTAGGTTGTTCATAATCCGAGAAAGATTGACTCGCGCGGAGCAGGCTGGTTTTCGTTCTGGTCGAGGATGTATTGATCATATCTTCACCCTCGGCCAAATGTTAGAACGCCGTCATACTTATCACAGACCAACAATCGTAGTGTTTCTTTATATCAGGGCTGCCTTCGATTTGTTGGACAGGACTGTTCTCTGGGATTGTCTATCGAAGAATTGTGTGCCTGAGAAGTTTATTAACATCCTAAAAGCCCTATATACAAACACGTCGAGCAGAGTGAGGGCATACAACCACCTTTCTCCATTGCTCTAATCAAGCAGTGGGGTTAGGCAGGGTTGCCCAATCTCACTATTCCTCTTCAACTTTGCCATCGACGACACTCTGGAAACAGCTCTGATGGATGTAAGTAATGGCGGTGTGGATCTGCTGCCTGGAGTAAGACTTCTCGACCCTGAGTATGCGGATGATATTGTCTTACTGTGCGATAATGCCCAAGGCATGCAATCCGCACTTAACCAGTTGGCAATCAGTGTCCGTGGCTACGGTATGAGCTTTGCACCTTCCAAGTGCAAAGTACTTCTACAAGACTGGCAGGATTCTAATCCTGTACTCACTCTGGATGGTGAGCAGATAGAAGTAGTCGAGATGTTCGTGTATCTAGGTAGCTGCATAAGTGCTGGTAGGGGTGTGAGTGATGAGATCAATGCACGTATGGTGAAAGCCAGAGCGGCTCATGCCAATCTGGGCCATCTATGGCGCTTTCGTGATGTTAGTCTGGCTGTAGAAGGTCGGATCTACGTGTCGGTGAGGACAGTTCTGCTCTATGCTTTTGAAACCTAGTCTCTCCGAGTTGAGGATGTTAGGCGACTCTCCGTGTTTGATCATTGTTGTCTCCGAAGGATTGCTGACATCCAGTGGCAACACCATGTTGGTAATGCAGAGGTTCGGCATCGTGTGTTCGGGCGCAGAGACGATAATGTAATTGGTGTCACCATCTTGAAACACCGACTTCGGTGGCTTGGACATGTTCTCCGAATGTCGTCCCAGAGAATTCCACGTAGTGCATTATTTGCCGACTCTGGGACTGGTCGGAAACCGGTGAGGTGGTCAGTGTATGACATGGTGTCGTGGTATGAAAGCTGCAAAGGGTTGGCTTTTGTTGGCCTTTCACGACTCCCTAGCTGGGGTCCGAGAGATGGTGCTACACAGTGGCTAGAGACGCTATCAGATATGGCTCAGGATAGAAGCCAGTGGCGATCCTGCTGTAACCTTCTTTTACTTTTTTCATAAGAAGTGGTTGAATTTTCTTCAGCTGAAGGAATTCTTTCTGGTTGTACCTTTCCGTTTCCCCCATTATTACCATTATTATTATTATTATTACATCACCTTACACTAATCTATTCGTTATTGTTCTTTTTTCTCTTCGAATTCTCATTGTTTTGTGTGGTATATATTTGGTACCCTCTTGTACCAATATTTATATGTTCAAATAAAATATATTATTCAGTAAAATATTAGTCCATCATTTACAATGAATAACTACGGTATGGTAGTGAGAATTAGTGAACAATGAAAGCAGAAAACAGGAAAGCCATTAACAAAAATTAGTCCATAATGTTTAGACTCAAAAGCGATCAAGATTTTTTTTAATTATTGGAAAGATTAGTAAATTAGTCCAAACGGTTGTCTAGCATTACCTGCAACCTTATGAATCTCACTAGCTTTCTTCACTCACCGATGTTTACTACCATTACGTAAACTTGTTTGTAGCCCTGTGAAGTGAGACTTAAACTATGTATTAATTTGAAAAAAAGCCGTTGACCTCCTGTAGCTTTTCCTAACCTATTGGTTTAGGTTCCTAATACGTTACTTCGTTTTTACAACGGGCCTCACATTAAAGACGAAATACCAGGAAACAATTAAAGGACCTAATAGTGTTAGGATTAGCTTAGGCATTGTCAAATGTGAGTGAATAGCTGACAAACCACAAAAGCACACAATTTATAAGGTTATATTTGTTCAGTGGTTTAGAAAGTTAACTGAGTAACAAGGAATTATCTCATGGAGTGGAGTGGTGGCAGTGAATAAGATGTTAGACTTTTAGATGCTAGTCAACATGCTCGAAAACCACCCCACCTACCAGGGATTCGGCAATCAGGTAGTATCAGCAGCCGCAATACATTGTCTAAAAATAAGTACACAATGATAACCTGGCCCAAAGGGAGCAGAAACACAGCACAAGAGAAAGCTCAGGTTTTGAGCAATTGATTAATTCCGGAAGAGATTTTTACCATCAACTTGTTTCAAACCATTGGTCATCGTGTATTTTAGTGGTACAACCTAACTCTTGAATTCCTACTATATTTACACGAATTGCGGTACTTTACGTCGATAGAACTTCTGACCAGATGTTGCGATTGGGCCTGAGTTTATGAACTTAAAAAAAAACACCCAAACTATGTTTAATAAGATAGCAGAATGGTTGACGATTGGTTCGCAGTCATATTCAAGCATGTTTGTAAAGGCTGGTATTTAGCAATTTAATGGACTTTAGCGAGTTCCAAATTCATAAAAGACCACTTGTTGTGCATGGTTCGAACTTGCTATTGCATTTTTTAATTCCTGGCGGATGATGAATACTTACGATAGTAAATGTTTCACAAATTTATCAATGAGCTGTTACCTGATTCTAATAAACTAATAAATTAACAGAACTCACCTCATCACATAAACGAACCATGTTCCTTGTTGAATCAAGAGTCTATTATGTTATTGATAAGTTATGTAGAAACAATACCTCATCGGTCTTTGCATTCATCTGCATTCTCAGCAGTTCCAACTCACTCATTGGTTGTCGTGTCGCAGGATTATCCTATCCATTATATTTTATTCCATTGCATAAAATCATTACAGCGACTCACCATTTTCACTCGTCTTGTACAGAAGACACGTCTAGGTGTAACGGTGAAACACAAACATTGCGCTGAGCTTCTATATATTCAGTATCAAATATATTTCAGGTGAGCTTGCGTAAACCTATTAATTTCTTCGCTCTCGCTTCTTGCTGTTGTAGCACAGTTTCAGGGTCAGTGTTAGTCTAGACACTTGACTTCACTAATTCTAGTTATTTGATCGTTATTTGTGTATATGAATATGATTTACTTTGAGTGAGTTTCAAACGGTTCAAATGGTTGTGGACGGAATAGAAGAAGCTTTCGCTTTAAGGGGCTTCAGTGTTTAGTAGCAGTGGATCACCAATACCTCCAGGCAGGAACCTAGGCATGTTAACGATAATGGAGGAAAAAGAGGAATAGATAAATCATAATAAGATGTTATTCCTTAGTCCATTAGATTAGGTCAAGTTTCCTCTTAAAGGACTCCTAGAAAGTCGCTTGGACTAGTCCAGTCAGCGGCGAATTCCATCATTTAACAACTCTTAGGGAGTAGGAGTTGCGTCTACAGTCCATTCTGCTATTTTGTATCTCCAATTTCTGGGTGTTACGCCTTAGGTTTGCTTTGGGACTAAGCTTAAGTAGGAGTTTAAGGGGATGTCCAGAAGTCTCAAGAAGACTGTAAGCCAAAGTTCAACATAGTACAAATCTTCATACTTCTTAAACCAAGAATGAAAAGTTACACCTGGTACACCATCAAAATTAAATTCATGGATGGCATTAATGACTAAATCAGTATGGAATCATTGTAATTCACTAGAAGCAGGGTACCAACAAGTACCAACGAACTGGAAAGAAGGACTTCTCGTCAAAATACCAAAGAAAGCTTATCTCAACGACTGTGATAACTACAGGGGCATCACTCTTCTCTCAATACCAGGAAAAGTCTTCAGCAGAGTATTGTTAGACAGAATGAAGGACTCCGAGGACGCCCAACTTCGAGACTAACAGGCAGGATTCCGTAAGGATAGATCGTGTATTGACCGCATCACAACTTTACAAATCATTGTGAAACAATCAATTGGGTGGAATTCATCACTCTACATCAACTTCATTGACTTCGAAAAACCATTCGATGGCGTGGACAGAACAACACTATCGATACTACGGCGTGCCTAAGAAGATACTCAATATCATACGAAATTTCTATGATGGATCAAACTGAAGAATCGTGCATGGGAGACAATTGACAGACTCGTTCGAAGTAAAGACCGGATCGGTAAAGCAAGAGCAGTATATTTACAACTGAAGGACATCTGGAACTCAAAACAACTGTCTGTCAACCAACACCAAAGTCAGACTGTTCTACTGTATGAGGCGGATACTTGGAGGACTACGAAAGCCATCATCCAGAAGATACAAGTGTTTGTTGATAATTGTCTGCACAAAATACTTCGGATCCGTTGGTCAGACACTATCAGTATCAACTTACTGTGGGAGAGATCAAACCAGATTCCAATATAGGAAGAAATCAGGAAGAAGTGCTGCATATGAATAGGACACATATTGAGGAATTCACCCAGCTGCGTCACAAGACAAGCCCTCACATGGAATCCTCAAGGCCAAAGGAAAAGAGGAAGACCAAGGAACATACTACGACGATAGATGGCGACAGACATGAGAAGAGTGAAGAACAACTGGATGGAACTAGAAAATAAGGCCCAGGACAGAGTGGGTTGGAGAATGCTGGTGGGCGGCCTATGCTCCATTGGAAGTAACAGGCGTAAGTAAGTAAGGAAGTAAGGAGCAGGGTTTTGCTGGAACAGGCACAATTTCTTCATAGAAACTCCCATGATTCTGATTTGAGACTGTTCAAACCTCTTCTCTCGACGCTTCATATAAGCTTCTAGTTGCTCCAAAGAAATATTCATTGTAGTTTTACCGTCGCCACTGATAAGTCATGCTAAATGAACGCTGTATTCGATTCCCAAGCTAGAACTAAACAACGACCTTAACACGAGAGAAAAGGCGCGAAATATGTGTGATACACTTTACTCTGAAGGTTCATTTATGTACAGAAAATATAAGGTTTTTATGGCATTTTAGATGTCTTTGGGTTTCCTAAAAATTCTGGAATGCTACTAAACATAGTAACAGTGTAGTAATCATCTAATCAGAAACTCGAAATGTGACTTTCCACTTTCTTGATGTTTCTGGCTAAACTTCGAGCGAACGCTGATTGAATCAGATGCTTCTCAGTGTTTACCGAGTCTTTCTTGTCTTTTGCGAAAAGTTTTCTGGATCACCTCAAAAGTCTGTGGATCATCAAAGTAGATGATCTTTGTCGAATGATTGGAGGCCTACTCTAGTTAGACGGGAATGGTGTGACGAACCGGCTAACGTCAAAGTCACACCTCGTGGTCAGCACCTTATGTGGACTACCCTGCTGACCTATCAAGGCACCATTGATGCTTTGAAGACTGTACAACACCAAAGACGTTATTACAGAAGTATATTGACTAAGGAAGATAAAAGCGAAGGTAAGACCACTGCCGCATGGGCCAGTCCATGGCGTACGATTTACTGATGCGCGTTGGTTATCCTTGACCCTGGCGGGGATGGATGATTCGTTCCATATTCAATGACCCCATTGCCGGATGCTTGGCTAGGGCTCTGTGAAATTTCACTGGCCCTACAAGTCTTTTAATTTCTCAAAATGAACTTTTAGGTTTTTTGAGATAACTCCCTTTCTAAACTCTGATTAGTTATCCCAGCAGTCAACTGACCGCTTAGTCAAGTTTCTTGTTACTCCTCACTGTTCCACACTGTGTTTTGTTTCATTAGTTGAAATATCAGATCTCCAACTTTGTGATCATTTTTTTCATCATTTTATACAACTTCGATCTCTCTGTGTATTCGAAGCCAGTACGCTGAACAATCAATAAGTGGTAATTCTTTGAGACATTCGTGCCATAATGAAATTGGTTTCTCTGGAAAAACCAGATTCTTTAGCAGGTTATAAACTTCTCTGCCAATAAACATCACAAAACAAGCTGTGAATTTATCATCTTTATTGTCTTCCGTAGTCATGCACCAGATTTCGAACCGCCCCTCGGAGAATTCAAAGCCATCCCCGTTTTAATTAATGTCCTACTGTCCAAGATTTGACTACATCACGGCATCGGTATGATAACTAGCTGTATTCAAATTTATTTCCCAACTAAGAACTCTCATACTAGTGCAGTCAAACCAGGTAATATTAGATGAGCACAATCAGATGCTTTATATTCAGAATAATAAGCCCTCAATCAAGTACAACGTAATCATCAGTTAGTATAAATACTCCAATCTGAAATTACAATTTAACTTTATCTAGTTTCCTCGTTAAATTTGCTCTCCTTTTCAAATCAGACCAAGTGGCGAAACCACAATTTATGGACAGACTAATGAAATCGAAAGTAGCAGGCCTTGTATTGTGACCCGAAATACAATATTGTTGAATTGCGTTTCGGTATCACAGCTGATGTCACTTCCTGATGAAAACCCCAACTCCAATTTCTTATCCTGAACTCAAACTCTAAATCCAAACCTTAATTCCACTCCCGGATTTATGGTTCTTGTTTGACTCTAGTAAGTGAGTAGCCTCAAGGTCAAAAATATCAGCTAATAACCTTACCGAGTGAACAACATGGTCGGGTAATTATCAGTTCTATATAAAGCTACAGATTCAAATGCACATTATTACCTACACAAATATTACCACCCGGTTATTCAACCGATAATTATACAATACACTCAAATAATCAAATAGAAATTCATTAAGTAGATAAAAAAGATAAAGAACATAAGATAACTACCAGTTCCAAAAAAATAAAGGTTTGTACTAATACAGGAATATTATTCCATCCTTTTTGGATAGATCACGTACAGTTTGTTCAAACTGTAATGCATAACCCTATAAAAGTATCAATAAGAAAAGTATTAATCATTGTATGCTTCATTACATATCACAACAATAAGTCTTTCCAGTCCTAGAAGTGTGTTTCAGTTCACTACTAAATATTGCACGATTCCAGCCACCTCAAGCAATACAATCATAGAACAGAGAATGAATAAAGTAAAACAACGTAGATATAGTTCATGAGAATCAGAGAAATTCTGTGTAAGCATGTAGTGACTCACTTTTATCAACAGAACGCGATTGGTGTAATGGAAACAATAATTATTATAACCAATTGTACCAGCGATTGTTTTACTATACTTGTTTGTTTAACTGTACTAAAGACATTCCTCCTTCCGTTGATTGTGGCCTTGCACGAATTCGGTTACGCTCAGTAACCACACTTGTACTCCTTTGGCACGATCTCGGTATTCTTCCGGTACCACGAGATCGCCAACAAATACATCTCGACTACAGTCACTAACTGCCTTCTGATATTTGGCCTACGGGGGATGTTATCAGTTAACTGGCACAAAGTCTTCCTGTAGTGGTAATCATAGTCAACCGCGACTCGACATCACACTTGTAGCGTGGTGTCGAGTCGAGATTGACTATAAACACCACTACAAATGAAGGCGTGTCAGGATATTCATAAAATCCCCCGGAAGACAAATATCAGAAGGCAGTTAATGGACCAAGTCGAGATATATTTGCTGGTGATCTCGTGGCATCGAAAGGATACCGAGATCGTGCCAGGATACAAGCTTGGTTACATAGCGCAACCGAATTCGCGTGAGTTCACAATCAAAGTGTGTATAATAGATGTTTTTAGCACAGTTAAACAAAGAGATCATTAAACAGTCACTCGTACAATTGGTTATAATAATAATTGTTTTCAATAAACCAATCGCGTTCTCGTGATAAAAAAGAGTCACTACACACTACAAGCGTAAGGAAAACAGAAACTACAATTTAAAAAATAGTTAGTAATCGTTTCATCTAGAATCAAAAGAATAATGAAATGTGCATGGATCAAAAAGAATAACTTCACACTTGATAGTGACGCAACAGTTTAGATTGCAAAAGCGTGTACGTGAAGAGATTTTCATAGAAAATTATACAAAAGTTCCAAACAGAGTGTTACAGTTAAAAC